ATTGACTAGTGATATGACCTTTCGCCTGTAAAAATGAGAACACGTCTCCTCTCTCCCAGGATCATTGAAAATATTAAGATGGAAGACTAGAGTAAAGGCATTTAGTGTAGAGCTTGGCACATYGATATTTTTGCACCTATCTATCAGGAAGTCGGTGATGCCTCTGATAGAGAACATATTCAGAAGAGGAGCATGCAGGGTTTAGGGTGAGAAGGCTGTGCTGTGACTGCCAGGGGGTGCCACAGTCCTCTCTTCATTCAAGAATCCCCATATGTCACCAGGCATGGTGGTGCACACCTCTAATCCCAGCAGTTCAGGAGACCGAGGCAGGAGAATCGTGAGTTCAAAGCCAGCCTCAGCAATAGTGAGGCGCTAAGCAACTCAGTAAGACCCTGTCTCTGAATAAAATACAAAATAGGGCTGGGGATGTGGCTCAGTGGTTGAGTGCCTCTGAGTTTCAATCCCCAATACAAGAAAAAAAAAAAGAATCTCCATATTTCCAGTTCCTGCAGGCATCTCTACCAGAGGATGGTGTCCCCAGACAAGACAGCAAGACAGCAAGCCTTCTTACCACAGTGTGTGTGTGTGCATGTGTGTGTACCTCATGTGTGTGGTAGAAATATTATTTCCAGAAAAGAGCAATTTGTATTTCCCAATCCATACCCAGTCCATGTGCAAATTCTCTCAATTCTGCTTTCAAATGTGTCCCATCTCTGTTATGTTCTCCCATCTTCATTCTGGATCCCTCACCTGGACATCAGTAAGAACCTTCTCAGCATTCTTCCTGTGTCTACTGCAACCTCCTCTAGTCTGTGTTCTGCCCAGCAGTGGAATGACTAGCTGACACATGGATTAGCCCATAGCACTGCCCTGGGGTCACCCACTTCACTGCAGATATGCTCCATTCTTCTTACCATGGCCAGCAAGACCCTGCGAGCCTCTCTAGGTTCCTTCCACCCTCAGTTCCTGCTATTCTTCCCTTAGCCACATGTGGCCTCTCTCATTCTCCATCATCCCACACTCCTTCCTCTTTCACAGGCTGTCTACTCTGCCCAGACACCTTCCCCTTGTCTTTGGTGTCTACTCTTCATCCTTGGACTCCCACCTCGGCTTGGATTTTACTTCTTCAAACACACTTTGTCAGACCATTCTGAGCTGAATATCTTTTCCCACCAGGGCAATTATTCTGTTTCTACAACTGCGTTTTCTACATGACTGTTATCCTAATTTGCAAGTATATATTGATGGATTGGTTCACTCAACACGAGTTATTAAGCCCCACTATGTGCCGGACACCTTGCTAGAAAATGAATTTTCATCAAAGCACAAAAAAAGATGAAATCTCTGCTCTCATGAGATGCACATTTCCACAAACAGGAGATTGGCAGTAAACAAATAAGTAACTGAGCAAAGTAGTGAGTGTATAAATAGTGGTATGCTGAGAATTAAGATAGGGCCATGGAACAGTGTGTCATGGTCATGTGGTAAGGAAAGGCCTCTCCTGAATAGGTGGCACCAAGCTGAGATCTGCATAAGAATACTGCTCAGCTCACCTTGGTGGAAAGGACAAGTACAAGAAAGGTGCAGCCCTCAGAAAGACTGAGGTGAAAACAAGCTTGGGGTGTTGGCAGTGCTACAGATGCAATGGCAATGACCAAAAAAGCAAAAAAAAAAAAAAATAATAATAAGTAAAAGAAAAGCTCATGATATTCCTGCAATATCCGGATGAGAGAGATGGCTTCTTTAGACTAGTGAGATGACAATAGAGAGAGGGAGGACAGATGTCCATGTACACTTTAAAATTAAAGTTAACAGATCTCAATGATGAGAGGCAGGAAGGAAAAGGGTTGGGCATTTAGTTTCTTCCACTGGAGGATGAGCTTCAAAAAACAGGGACCATAGTGATCTTGTTCACCTGGCACTGAATATGGTCGAATGAGTAAATGTATGTGTGAACCTTCCATGGGACAAGGGGTAGAGGAAGGTAAGGGCAGGTTTCATAGAGGTGAGGATGCCCATATGAGGTTAAGCAAGGTGATCTGAAGTTTGTCAGGTAAGCGAGACAGGGAAGAGCATCAGAGGATGAGGGAACGGCATTGCAAAGGAGGCAGGAAACATACAAAATAAACACAACAGTGTCACTGAAGTCCTTCATCTGCCCAAGGTGAACTGTCAGCTCTGCAACTGGGCCAGATTCCAGAAAAGCCAGAATGGAGAATACACGGCTGTCTTTGTCACACCCTGATACCAAGACAAATAATGAAAGCTCGAAAGATCATAAAGGAGGAAAAAAAAAACAACAAAAAACACTCAAATCCAGAAGTTCAAGCCCCAAACTATACAGATTCCTGCAGAAAGTAGAAAGCTGTCATTTGTAGCCCATGAGAAAGTTCCGGGACTTCATTAAAGTCTAACATCACATCCCCAAAATCCATGACTCCCCTTGATTTGTTTGATGCATGGCCCCATGCCGTCTTTGGGGGAGAAGCCTTTAATATATGGGACATATTAGAAAAAAAAAAAAAAACAGTCTTATGCATCCTTTGGGACAAACCCAGAGAGGATCTAAGACAAACTCGAGGACAAAAGATTCCCCCAGAGCAGAGCAGTGTGCTTCATTTCAATCGTTCCATACCAAGCTCAGCCATTTGAGGACATGAAGGTACCACCCAGGATGTATCTTAGATCAAGCACTTAATAGAACATAAATTAAAGTCATGTAGATCAAAGATAGAGAAAGAGAAAAAAAATGGTCACAGAGAGGAAAGGCAGAGGAAAAAAGGGGGAGAAATGGGAGACCGATGATTGGAAAGAAAGGAAATGAGAAAGAGGGGATGAGAGAGAGAGACCCAGAAAACCAACCAAACATCAAATCCAGAGAAAGGGTGTAGGCCGTGCAATTTGTCAAAGGGAGAGAAGGTAGATGTTTTTGTTCTTTGTAGGTTAATATGTAAATGACATTCTGATTTATTAGCGGTCTCCAGCAGAATGAGGTGATGATTAGCACATTTCCATATTTATAGAAAAGCAACACTAACTTTCCAGATTTATAGAAAATCAGCTCTTCACAAATAGCAAATTGTGCTATTATCGACATATGGTTTTCTATAAACAGAGTTGAGGTAATTATCCCTGGGACAATTTGTCGGTGGGCTCCTTTTGAATATTAACCACATTGGAAGCCCATCTCTGCCCCCACAGATTTTAAAGAAGGAGGGGCCACTCCATACCCAAGGCAATTAATTAGTAATCCCACCCTAAAGACAGGAGCAAAAATGAAAGGCTATACCAAACCACCATGGGAAACTAAATTAGCTTCCCTGAGGAGCCTCCCCACTTGTATGGCTAAAACTGGGGTAACAGCTACCTCCAAGTGTTGTTGTAAAAATAAAAAGAGAATATCTGTAGTTGTACTTGGAACCTAGGCAGTGCTCACCAAACATTAATTCTTTCTCATCCCTCGCATTTTTTAATGATTCTAAAAGGACTCACTTGAATACAGTTTTTCTCTTTTTTATAGTGATCCATAGTAAGCTGTTTATTTTGTATTATTATACAATGCATGCATACTTATCTCTATTTAACTAGAAAAACTTTCCTGAAGCAATAATTTAACTTCAGCCCCTATAATCCACTGTGTTATTTTCTATTCTATCTTTTGTTATTCAAAATTTTGTGTGTGATCCATACATTGATTTTGAGACCTCCTATTGGATTGCAACCTGCAGTTTGAATACTGAGGGTAGAAACAACCTTTTTGTCCCTAGAACAAACTACCTTTTTTTCTTTTTCTTTCTTTTTTTTTTTTTTTTTTTTTTGGTGGTGCTGGGGATTGAACCCAGGGCCTTGTGCATACGAATTGAATTGCTTTTTGAAAGAGAGATAGTTAGATGGATGAATTAATGAATAACCCAGCCAGGAATTCCTGTCTTGTTTTGCACACTTACTGTATTTGAAGCCCTGAACTGAGCACTAGGGAGAGAGAAAAGCACCAGACATAAGGCTTCCTTTCACAGTTCTTGCTATTTAGATGAGGAGGAAAAATAATCACATTTGGACAATGTTTTTTAAAGTATAAACTGTATGAAATTTATATGAATGTGTTTTTTGTTTCTTTTTAAAAAAGGAGTGACTAGCCTGGGCTGGTACAGTCAAGGAAATGTCTTGAAACTATGGCAGTTTGAACTTGGCTTTGCAATTCTGATAGATCTCTTAACCTTCATTCGTTCATTGAGYTGGTTAGTGGTTCTCAAACTGTAATGAGCATCAGAATCATCTGGAAGGCTAGTGAAAATAAATTCCTGAGCTCACTTCAAGAGTTTCTGGTTTGATTTAGTTAGGTTTGGAATGGGGGCTGAGAAACCACCTAACGAGCAAATTCCCAGGTGATGCTATGTGGCTAGCTGGAGACCCACACTGGAGGAGCAATGTTCTAGGAGGTTGAGTGAGATGGTGAAGGTTGCTGATGTCACACTAGGTACTCAGGCATTATTCTTGCCATTCAGGATATTAGGCAAGGAAGTAGTACCATAAATCTATGAGTAGAAAGATCTGTCTGGCAGGATTGTTGAAAATGAACCAAGGAGCCTGCCCCAAGGGACCACTCAGGAACTTATGCCGTAAGTAAGAGATGAGAGCCCGTCTACCACTGAAGACAGAGAAGACAGATGGATGAGAAAGAGATGGAGGTCTGTAGAGATCCACAGGAGATCTGAGTGACTGGTTTTACAAATCCATATATAAAGGGAGTTTTCACACTGTAAATTTAAAAATCTCCAATTTTTTTTTAAAGAGGTAACTTGGAGGTAAAGGGAAGCACATTATTTAGGAGGTCTAGATGAATGAGTTCAAATCCTGTTTAGTCATTCTACCTTTCTGGATCTCACTTCCCTGGAAATAACAAGACTTATGTTACCTGATAGATTTATCAAGAACACTAAATGAGATCATCCAGGCATAAGCATTGGCCATGGTGTGTATGCAGTTTCTGCTTTACTTACCAAGCAATTCCATTTTTTCTTTGTTGAGCACCAGGATATATTCATAAGTGCCACCCATGGATCCAGACGTGATGTAGTGGGTGCCATAGTCGTTGATGAACTTGGCGTACATGCCATAATTGTACTGCTCTGGAAGCTCCATTAACGACTGCAGCATTCCTTCATCCAGCATGATATTCTGTCTCCTCATCTTAAAATGGGCAGTCTGCACCTTCGTGAAGATTCTCATGAAGCTGTATTTCTGCCAGCAGCCACCATTCAAGAGGCAAACGAACAGAGAGCATTTACCATGAGATAATGCAAAAGGCTAGTATTTAGTAACCAAGGAAAATATGTGAACATAAATACATATGATTACTATTAGATTTTACAAGCATGTATTGGACAGCAGGATGTGCCAGACTTTTTCTTCCAAGTCCTCATCTCTTATCCCTCTGCCCCTGCCCAGGTCAAGTTCTCATTAGCTCCCACCTGGGTTAATCCTTACAGGGGCCTCTCCACTGTGCTGTCCACCTCCAGCTTGTCTTCAGTCCATTGTCACATCCACACCTCCCCCAGTTCTAAGCAAAGCACTACATTGTGGGGTCTCATAGGAAAATTCCATGTATCCATTGACAATTGTGCTTGGAATAGTTTTGCCAATGTGCTGAAATATCCTTTAATGTRTTAAACAAATACCTATTGTGCCTATAGTTGCATGCATTACCCTACATGCAGAGGATGTAACCTTGAATGAGGTCAACCCCTGCCATCATGGAGTGTACAGTCTAATGGTATTCTTGTTCTACTAAGTAATAAAGAAAAGCAGGAGCCTCATRTAATTAATAAGAAATAGCACCAGAAGGATGTGGGTTGGTTTTCGAGGAAAAARATCATGTATGGACGTCACTTCCAGGTACTACAAACCTTGATTCAGAGCAACAGTGAACATTTGAAAAGGCTACTAGCTTTTAGAAAGTCCATATTAAYACGCTATATAGCCAGACCTCAGAGTACCCTTTACCCTTTGGATCAATAGCTAATTTATGCAAGGCTCCATATCTCAGTTTATGTTTGTTGAGTAAGTTAATTGTTATGAGTATATTTTCATCATCCAAGATAAGTTTTTGAATCCCAGCTAGATCCACAGTCCTGGTATCAGTGCTGTTGAGGCTTATTGTGAACTTCTAATCAATTCAACAAATAGTTCCCTGGCTCCTGATTCTCTCTCCATCCTCATCTCTCCCTATGTTCCTTCCCATCCTGTGCTTCAGCCAGATGAAGCACTTTGAATCGCAAGTTCTCGAGAGGCTTTCTCTGTCTCTGAGCCTTTGCGTATGCTGATTCCCAGGCCTAAAACATGGCTCTGATGTGGCTATTAAGTGTCCCCAAAGATCCATGTGTTAAAGGATTGGTCACTGTTGGGGAGGGATGGGACCTGTAGGAAGTGGAATCTAGTGAGAAGTCCTTAGTTCATTGAGGCATCCCTCAATGACCTTGAAGGGGATCATGGGACTCTAACTCCTTCCTCTTTCCCTTTTCACTTCCTAGTTCATGGTGTGAGCAGTTTGCTTCACTATGTGCCAATCACCATTACTATCCAGCACCCCCACCAGAGGCTCAAAGCCATGAGTCCACCCCATCTTGGACCAGGACCTCCAGAATGTGAGCTAAATAAACCTTTCCTTTTATACGTTAATTCTATCTCAGGCGTTTCATTGAAAGCTGACTAATCCAAATGTCCTTCTTCAACTTGTACCTCCCTTTGGACAACTTGTACTAGTCTCTGAATCTCAGCTTAGATGGACATCCTTTCCTAAAGGAAGCAGCTTGACCCCTCCAGATAATAGGTCCTTAGTGGCGAATGTTTGATGGATAAATGAAAGATTTATTGAGCATGCCAGCTCTCTTATCTATTTGGATAAAGTGAGGCTTGCTTTTCCAAGTCAAATTTAGAAGTTCTTGCTGTTTCTCTTTATCACATTACCATTCTATGCATTTCCCTGCGTGCTTCAGGTAACCATGAAAAAGGATGGGGGCGAAGTGATAAGAGCTCTAGTCCTATCGTTCAATTTTATTCCCTTTGTGATGATTCTGTGTGCAAAAGCGTAATAAGAAAAACAAACATGATTACCACTGATCAGACATTTCCAATTACACAAGCAAATTAAGGTTCAATTACTACTGTACTTTTTAATGCAATTAAGGTAATACGTGTTCAGTGTAGATTATGGAATACTGTGAGACACAGGCATTATGCTTTAATACCTTCTCATTATACTTGCTTAACTTATTCAAGACTGAAGAGTCTTCTGAGTCGGATACACCCACACCCACTGTTATAGGGGTGTCCGGCACGCCGATGCCAAAGCTGAATCCATTTGACCTAAACCTGTCATTTTTCACTTTAGAAAAAAGGTCATTGGCATCATCGTACAACTCTGAGGAGATCCCAGTATCTGCCAGGGCCTGAAAGAAAAAAATTAGCTTTTTGCACACAAAGCGATCTTAGCTATCTTTCAATTCATACTTAATATCTCATTCTTTGCTTTGTCAAATGTTGAAAGTTTCAGATTATTGTAAATAACTCTTTTAAAAGGCGAACCCAGGCATCGTGGATACTCACTAAAATATGGAAAACACAACCATGTTAGTGTTTAGTGAAATATTTATTTAGATACTGTGTGTATGCACATACACACACACACACACACACACACACACACACGACGGTTCTGATAAAATGCTATTGTGTTTTAAGCATGGCTTTCTTTGTGGATGGCTCATCCCTCCTGGAGGAGGGCTCTGCAATGGTGAAACAGAAAGCCATCTTGGGCATGGCCCTTGGAGGAGAGTGGCAAAGAAAGCCTGCTGATTATAATATTCGTAGGTAGTGGTGAACTATAGTGCTGCCCCCAATTTTGTTATAAGCACASGATCAGGTTGCACCGCTCTGCTGACTTGAACTGAGGCAAGGTCTCACACCTTGCTTAAGCCATAGAAGCCTTCAGAATACAGTTTGTTCTGCAAAACTGAGAGCATTGGTTGAAGTGGAGCCTCCATGGGTGGGAGTGCCTGGGTATCTACCATGCTCAGAGTCTCCTCTCCACCTGAGGATGGACAGAAAGTATCACCAAGGCATTATAGTTTCCAGCCACTGGGACTTGAGAATCCTTTGTGACGACAGCAAGGCCTTGTCCATCTTGCCTAATCCAGACACCCTAGGTCTTCCTCCAGATTGGAAATTGGCATTGTCTATGTCTTCCAYCTTAGTTCAACCATAGGCCTGCTTGGGGAAGCAGACGTCTTCAAAACAGACCCCACAAACCTGGTAAGAACTCTGTCAATACTTTTCTTTTGAGAAACTTAGGGTTGGGGAGGATGTGCCTAGATAATTACTCAAAACCCTGATGTCCTGCCATCTGTCTCTATGGATAGAATGAATGTGAGTACATACACATGATGTGTATCTATCCATCTTCTCCATGATGAATAGCCCTTGTTAGAGTTTCCATAGACAGACCTGGTCTCTGCCACCTACCACAGCACAGCTGTGTGCAGGACACTTCATTCCTTCACATCTTTTTCTTTATACCTAAAGTGGAACTATGATAATATCTATCCCACTACGTTATTTATGTGAAAATAGGGGATTTGACACTAGTAAGCACTCAGCAAGTTTTGTTGAATGGGCATCTCACCCAAAGATGAGGGGTAAGAAAATGAATGACCATGAGCAGGCTCCAGAGCTGGTCATGAGTTTCATTCTATTCTGAGAGACCAAGAGACCCTAGGATTTTAGAGTTGGATTGTCTTAGGGATCATTGACATGTTGCAACAACACTTTTGAACAGAAGAGCTCTTTTTTCAAACAAAATCACATACCAAAAAAAAAAAAACATGAAAATAATTAGTGTGAGTTACTCTTGGCAAAGCAGAAGTATAAGGCTCAGGACCCTGTCCATCTATGTCCACCATCTGCTTTACAGATGAGGAAAGTGGGCCCAGGGAGGAGTAATGGGTTTRTTGCTCAAGGTCTTAGGGACCTATACTCAAACACAGCCATTAACTTGGAGCTAGGTCTTCTGACTGGCAGCGCAGAGAAGAGGGCCTACATCTCTCTTGTCAACTTTGAAGTAGAGCCAAGACTGGATGGATGGGTGGCCACATTTATGGCCTCTCCTGGGCCCTGTCCTTGCCTCTCAGCACCCTCCATACTGAGCATGTGTTCCGGGTAATCTTCAGCCACCAACAAACTCTACAGAAAACAAAAGTTTCCAGACCAAGGCAATTCCACCAACAAGCCTCTTTATCCCTGCCCTACCCTACAGTGGCCTGAGGGTCTCTGTTCAGACTTACTTCAAAGTGGTACTTCAGGAAGTTGTACGGTTTCCGGAAGTACTTCTCATCCTCTCCATAATAGAGACGCTCACAGGTGGGGTCATACTGCAGCTTTCTCCATTCCCCGTTGTATACCAGCTCACACTGGCCACCATAATACCTGGCGTCATACACACTCTGAGCTTCTTTCTGAGTCAGGATATTGTACCTGCATTGAAAAGACAACTTCTGGGAAAAGAATCTTGGAAGGCAAAGCTAATAAAACATATCACCCTCTGGAACCTGTTGCAGCTATAAATTGAGCACCTTGTTTCTCAACTGTGTTCTGTGGAGATCTAGGGTTCCTCCAAGTACTTTAAGTGTATACAAGAAGGTATCCCTGGGATGCTGAGTGGGCTGGGCCTGGGCTCCCAGGTTCCCTTTAACCAAAGCATCCAGACAACTCTGTTCAGCATCTGAACCAGCTCCTTTATAAAGGAGGCACCCCTAAATTGTAAGTTAGAAATGCACACAGTTATTAAGAATACATAGTACTTCTAGCTGTGTGACCACAGGCAAATCATTTAATCCCTYTGTTCCTTAGATTAATCATTTGTAAAAAGCAATTAGTAATATCCTCACAGAGTTAAATATGAGTTAAAACATGCAAGGCACTCATAGCCGTGCTTAGCATATATTAAGTGCTGAATAAGTATTGCTATTTTTATTATAAGCATTATTCAAAAACAGGCTCTGCTGCTGAAAAAAAATTGGTTTGGAATATTGGATGTAATGCATAGTGCTAAGGCTGAGACTCTAGTCCTTAGGTAATTGTCTCTGAAGCAGCATGTGATATCCGATGGTGCACAGTGTGAAAGCCAGGGAGTCTCCTGTGTAATTCCCAGCTCTGCCACTTCTTGCGATTGTGACTTTGTTAACACACACACACAAAAATTTTGAATTGGGTAAGAGTTCTAAGACCAGACAATCAAAGCTCCTCATGTTACAGACAATAAAATTTTTGCTGTCTTCATCTCCCAAACTCCTATTTAGCCTTCAAGATCCAACCCCAATGTCACCTCCTCTAAAAGACCTTTTGCAAACTCTGGACACAGTTAACTCCTCTCTGTTCCGATGGCATTTATTACCTCTGCATTCATCATGATTGTTTATGCCGTCTTCAATAAGGAACAAAGGCAGAAGGGAATGAGGAATAAACTGTGAATAAAACCTACCTCAAAGAATAAATGAATAATTACAGAGCACCTGACATATGGTAGAAATTCAATATATGTTAACTTCCTTTTTCTCTTCCTTTCCCTACCTCTTTCTTCTATTAGTGGAAGTGATGTAATAATGGCTATGATGAATTGAATACATACTAAACTAGACATTTAGCATACATTAACTTTAAACCTCATGACAATTTTGCAAATGCAAAAATTGAAGCTCAAAGAAATTAAGAAACTTGCCTATAGTCACAGCTGGATTTTTTTTTTCCTAAGATGTTTTTGACAGTAAATCTGAGTTCCTTACCTTTATTCCACCCTGCAATTTCTATCTCACTACTGATTGAACATATTTCTGCCTGTAGCTTATAAATATAGCCTCTGAACAAACCAAACAAAAATTCACAGCAACAGTGACCCCTAGGATTATACTGTAATGGCTAAGCATTAGGAAAACCCACATATCTTTGGAAAAGCTGGTTGCAAAAGCCCCAGTGAAAATGAAAAGGCATAGTCAGAGAAATTCTACCCTTCAGAAACCTACCCTGCAGAAATAATCATACATGTACAGAAGCATGTGTATAAGGATGTTCATTGAGGCATTGTTTATGAGAGGATAAGTGGAAAAGAATCTCTTTCAATAGGAAGTATTCAAAAAAAATTGGTAGTTCTAGAAGGAGAGGTAGCAAGTATATTTATATAGAGCCAGAAAGTAAATATGTTAGACTTTGCAGGACATAGGTGTGTGTTGCAGCTGCCTTACTCTGCCATGGCAGAGTGAAAGCTGTGTTCTAATAAAACTTTATTTATAAAAACAGCAGACTGCATTTTTCTCTTCAGGCCATAGTTTGGTGACTCCTGTTTTAAAGCACTATGTTGCTTAGGAAAGGGAGATAGAAAATAATGGGTGAGGGACCTTCAAACTGTATTATTAGATGAGACACAGCAAGTTATAACAATATGTAAAGTGTGATCACATTTATGTAAAGTTTACCTACATCTTTAATGAACAACACATATGGGTCTATAGATCTGTTTTCCAAACAGTGTATGGTGCCATTGCATTTTTTTTTAATCTATTCTGGAAGAACCTGCACCAAACTAAATAGAGTTCAGCACTAGGCTGGGAAGGGACAGGGGGTGATTGGGTGAGGTGCAGGTGTGAGGGGGAGGGTGCATAAAGACTCTAGGTTTTTACTTCAAGCTTATTTAACGGTAAATTAAAAATCTGAAACTAGGAAATGCTTAAATTCCAAGAAAGTCGCTGAGATCTTGAGATGCACAGAAGAATTTAGGAAAGGTGTTTGAAATGTTCCTACCTGTTATCACAGGAGAAAAGAGTCATAGTCATGTTTTTGCCAATAAGGAGGGAATGAGGCAGGCGTGGTGGCACGTGCCTGTAATTCCAGCTACTCAAGAGGCTGAGGCAAAAGGATTGCAAGTTCAAGACCAGCCTCAGCAATTTAGTGAGACCCTAGGCAACTTAGTGAGACTAAGAGAAAAACTGGAGATGTAGCTCACTGGTAGACCAAGCCTGGATTCAATCTCCACTACCAAAAAAAGGACTGGAGGACATTTTTCAGTACAGTGCCTTGATATTTCATGTTCGACTCTGTTCAGAGCCTTTAAAGAAATAATTAAATTAAAATGAAGTCAGTGTAGGTGGTGTCCTTTTAAGAAGATGAAATCAGGACCCAGACCATAAGACTGGGTAAAGACAAGAGAGGGATGGCCATCAATGAGCCCAGGAGAGAGGCCTTGGGAGAAATCAACCCTGCTGACATCTTGATCTCAGGCTTCTGGCCTCCAGAACTATAAGAAAATCCATTTCTGTGGTTTAAGCCACCCAGCCTGAGGTATTTTGTATGGCACCCTAGGAAACTAATATAACTGAACTGAAAGAAGACAGAATTTGCTCATCTTTTCATATTCATGTGTTATAAGCCCTTGCAGGCTTCAGTACCATCGAGTAGGTGAGTTGATCTCTTATAGCAAGCAATCCCTGACAAGCGAGAGCTGCCTGTCACAGAACTCAAACCGCTCCTTAGATGGACTGCAACATGGCTAGGTCACTTGTGACAATCACTACATCTCCTCCCATTTCCTTATCTCTAAGGAACTGGCTGGTCATAGTGACATGTTTCAGTGCAGCCAGTACTCAGTGAGGGTCTTCTAGAAGACAGGCTCTGACCCAGGGCTGGGGAGGTGAAAGATGAGTCACATGCAGCCTCTGCCCTCAGAGCTTAGATTCAAGTTAGTGGACAAGACCCAGGGCAAAGACAGAGTGGCAAGGAGCTGACAATACAAAATGTTACCAGAGATGACAAAGAACACTCAGCCTGGGCAGACAGACACCCCAACAGACCTCCCTAGCCCTTCTGGGTATGTGGTGGGACAGCAGGATATACAGGAGGCTTTGGAGCAATCGGAGGAGACTTAGCCACCCTAGGCAAGCAGGCACATTTTGAAGCTTACTGGTACCACTGGTCTGTCTTAACAAAGTAGCACGGATGGGTGGCTTAAAAAACAGAAATTTAGTTTCCCATAATTCTGGAGACTGAAAGTACAGAACCAAGGTGTCCTGTTTGCCTTCTGGTGAAGGCCACTTCCTAGCTTAGGGACAACTGCTTTCTCTGTCTTCCCACACTTCTTGGCTCTGGTTTTGCATATGCACACCAGTCTTCTTGGGTCAGAAACCCACCTGATGGCCTCATATAACCTTAACCACCTCCCTAAAACCCCTGCTCCAAATATAGTCCCTTGGGAGGCTGTAGTTTCCACGTAGGATTGCGGAGGTGGAGCATAAGTTAGTCCATGATACCAGGTAAGGAATTAGCCAGGTTGAGAATAGGAAGAAGGACATTTCAGGAAAAAAAAAAAAAAAAGAAACCAAATTAAGGTTCAAAGGGAGTATGATATGTTCAAGAAACTGAGCCTGAACATAAGGTGCATGGAGAGAAATTAGAATCAAGGCTGATTTAATCTCAACAGATAAAGTCCCTGTCACCTGGGAGTTGAAGCCAGCAATGTCAAAGTGGAGGGTCCAAGCCCCTCTGTGTCTCACCCGTTTTCTTTGCGTCCTATCACACTATTAACTGTTTACACAAGCGACTGCAGTGCAAAGCAGGTTGTGAACAGGGCTCTTGGAAAGGACACTTGCATTAGGGAAGGCTTCATAAGATGTCACTTCCTGAGTGGGCCTTGGAAGTGGAATTGGTGTTGGGGGGTGAGGGAGAGCAGAGTGGGAGAGTGGAAGGAAAGGAGGGTCCTCTGAGAGAATCGAAGGAACAGCATAGTCACGTACAGAGTCAGGCMACCTCAGAGAAGAGTGAGAACCACTCACAGGCTGTACTTCAGAGGAACCCCCCAAACTAACGCTCGTGAMGGGAGAGAAATCATTCCCTGCTCCTGAACAGCCAGGAGGCAGGCACTCACCCCAGGGCTGCCCTCTCTGAGCCTGGAATCGGATCATACTGGCTGCAGTCATTGTCTGTGGCCCTGACATCTTCACAGTTGTCCTCGTCAGAGCCATCAAGGCAGTCCCTGTCTCCATTACACACSAGGTGGCGTTTCAGGCAGCGACCTGAGAGAGGGAAGATGCTCCTGAGAGCCCCTCCCTATGACCCACATTCGAATTCACCAAGCCATTTCCACCTCTGAAGTAGCCCTCCCATCTGCTCCATCCTCTGTCTSTACCCCTCTGCCCTCCTCCCCCCATCGCTAGCTCCCACCTGCAGCCCCCCAGCTCTGGCCTGCCTGTGCCTCCCTCTCCAACTAAGCCTTCGCATTGCAACACCCCRGGGAATCTCTCTAAAATGCCAGTCTGGCCGTATCATCCCCTTGCTCTGTATCTGCAGTGGCTATCCATTCCTCTTCTTCCAAACAGTACAGTCTGGCTTCTGGTTACTATTTGTGCCTCAGTGGCCATCATCTGTCTCACTTTCCAAAGCTCTGACATGCAAATGTTTGAAAACAATCAAGGTTTCTTAAATCCCTGTGTCTTTGCATTTTCTTTCTCCTAAAAGCTTATATTTCATTTTCCAAGTCTCAGCTCAAAACCATTTTGAAGCCTTCCCTGATTCCCCAAAGCAGATTTGGACACTGTCTGCTAGGGAGTCCCAGGTGACTGTGTGCATATACCCATTACAGTGGCAATTGATTCCTTGGAGATCTCCCTCCCCAACAGAATAGGAGCACCTCAAACTCAAGTACATTATTTTTCTCATGTCTATATTAATAGCAGGTATTTCACAAAATATGGCACAAAGTATGTACCCTGTAAATTCTTATTCAATGAGTGGATGAATGAATGAATTGAACCTTTTCTGAAGAAATCAACTAGTGTTCCTACAAACTTGAATCAAAATTACTTGGGCTGCTGGCCTGACTAAAATGCAGATTCCTGGGCCCCATTCCAAATCAGCAAAATGACAACCTCTAGGGAAGGGGCTGGGAGCCTGTATTTTAACAAGTTCCCTGGGTAAGCGTTTTGCATATTTTATATGGCAGGCACAGCTGTTATCCCCCACCCCAGTGCTACTCACCTGTCTCCGTGCACTGGAAATCCTGTCCACACTGTACTTGTCTTAGACAAGGTGTGGGATTGTAACAGCTGGCTTGATCCCAGACATCACCACTGCATATGGTTCCCCCAAACTTGTTGGGCTGCAAGAGGCTCCGGTATCGGTACTAAATCAAATTTTGAACCAAACACATTGTTGTCAATCAATCAACCAAGATTTGTACAGGCAGGCTCAGCTCAACATAAGTCAGAACTGTCGAATGAATGAGACCTGTCTGCAAAGCTGTCTTCTGAGGGATGAAGTGCATCAACAGTAGTGCTCTACCAGAGGTGGCACGATCAGCAGCTGGAATATTGGACATGTGCTCCGAGCATCAAATGCAAGACTGGGACAAGAATATTTCATGGGTCCTCCTATTTGCTACGAAGGACCTCTGTTCCCTTCTTCAAATAGTTGGTAAATAGTCCTCTTTCAGGATTCCTGGCTTACCTCTCCTAGCAGGCCTTCCTGAACTCAGCAATACATTTTGCAAGCCCACATGCTTCCCTCCCTCCTGGCAGCTGTCATATAAGGTTGCAATGCAGCATCTGCTTATTTGTCTGTCTCTGCCACCAGTCTGGGAGTAATTTGCATAAGTGGGTGGAGGCAGTGAAGGAAAGCCCATGTCTTATTTGGCATCCTAGGATTGGCACTTGACCTATGGTCAGGTACAATTTTAGCAGACATTTTTGCTTGTCCTTCATAGTATTCTGCTCATAGATCCCTGCTGTCCCTGGATATATCTCACTGGTTCAGGAGGAGATGATCTCACCCCTTCAGTCACAGGATGTATGAGTATTAATCAGGCCAGGCYCATCAGAGACACACAGCTGCCTGTTTTCTGTGCTTGCTTCAGGTATTTTGTGTCTTGAAAAAAATGGCTTCTTTTTATTGGAGCTAAAGGGAATTATGGGCATCAAGTGATCATCTTGGCTAGTAGAAAGAGCCCATCCAAGAGCCAGAGAGACCAAGAGAGCTCTGAAGACTTCATCCAAGTCCCTAAGTCTAGCATGGAATGCAGAGGTCCAAATACTTGTTGATGGAAGGATGGGAAGAATTTAAATGCCCACAATCTTAGGGCTCTAGGGTTTTGTGATACTTTTTGTGCTGTGCTTGGGGTCAAGTAGTGGTATAGAAGGAGAAAGCTGAACCTTAGGATATTCAGAGAAATATGCTTTCAGAAGCTTAGAATCTAGTTGAGAAGATAAAATGTAAAATAATACAAAATATGCTGAATGGAGAGTATCTACCACGTCAGGTAAGGGAATTATAGCTCTCTATTTTCTTTGCCTCTGACCCTGGCTCAGCCTATAGGCCCATCCATCAAGACTGCTAAGATGTAATTAAGAAAGTAATGATCTGAACTGTGAATTCTTGACTCTATTTCTTTTGGTTTAAAGTATCAGTGCCTGGTACTTTGTGCCTCAGTTTCCAAACCTGTAAGATGAGGTGGTCGACTTCCGTGACCTCACTGATGACAATGACTCATGATTCTTTCACATGTGTCCTGCAGCTGAAAGAGCCCCAGCGTCGGAATTCGATGGACTGGGGTTCAGATCCCACATCTGCCTACCAGCTGAACACGAGCAAGTCACTTTCTTTTCCCGAGCTCCCGCTTTCTAGTATGTAAGATGAGAGTTGTGGCGTCTCCCCTTAGAGACTGTGAGATCTCAGGGACACAGTGTGAGGAAGCACCCAGCCCTCTGCCTGGTTTATCACTGGTGCTCAGCAAACAGAGGCAGTTTCCACCTTGCTGTCATTATCCATGAAGTCTCTTCTAGATGATTCCGGTGGATGAGTTGCGGAGAGTACAGCTCACCTCTCCTCTTGCCTGTATCAATCCATTTTCTGTTGCCGATAACTTACTGAGTCTGTGTGGCATTGTGTTATGAAGAAAGGGGGTTTAATCCGGTTCATGGTTCTAGAGATACAAGGTCCAGGGCCACATCTGGCCTTTGTCTCGGCAGAGTCCCAGGTGGTGCAGAACATCACATGGTGAGAGTAAGGGTGTGTGTGTGTGTGTGTGTGTGTGTGTCCCCATCTGTTTAGTTTCTTCTTAAAAAGCCACCAGAATTCAATCATGGGGCCTCCAGTCAAATGAACTTATCTAATCACCTCCCAAGGGCCCCACCTCTCAACACCACAGGTGGACTAAGTCTCCCCCCTCTTAGTATTTCACAATACAACACATGAAGCCTAACTAAACCATAGCATGCCCACCCCAGTCTATTCCACTGCTCATTGGCAAAGGGGCAGAGGAAAGGTGGAGATCAAATCTGTCCACTGCCTTTTCTGCCTTTGGGTTAATAATAGTGAGAAGAGGTTATAATTAATGATCAGTTCAGATGATCAGGATGTTTCCATTTGCTACTCATTTTCTTACCCATCAATGTGCAAATAACAGACTGATCCACACACAAACATAGAGCCACCTCTTTCTATCTCTTTAAAAAGTACATCAGATTTCTAACCAATGTAGTAGCCACCGTGACAACAGCGGTGAAGGAATCTACCCCATTGATTGAGCACTTACTATTGGCCAAGCACTCCACATCCATGATCTCATTTAATCTTCTCAGCTTCATGAGTTTAATTGTTATTACAAATTCCATTTTAAGCTAGGTTCAAGTTCCAGTTAGTTCTGCCACTGATTCTACAAGCACTACCAGATCCACTGCACAATGTCTCTGACCCTCATTTTTCTCATTTGTAAAATGAGACACATCTGAGAGTATTGTCAAGGTTAGTGATAATACAGGTTTAAAAAAAAACAAACAGTACTTTCCCTGGTTCCTGCTATACACTCGGTAATAACAGCTTTCAACACCATCATCATTCTTGGGCCACTCCAGAGGGAACTGGATTAGATGACTGCCAATGTCACTTACGACTTTCCAGTATAGTCTGGGAGTCAGTAGAGTGGCATGGTCAACCTCTCAGGGTTTCTGGAGTCAGACTGACCAAGATCTAAATCTAGGCTCTGCCACTTTCTTCTTGGATGATCTATAGAAAGCGGATGATGGTGTCTATCATCTCCAGTTGGCTGTGAGTATCAAACTAGACAATTTATTTACTCAAAATATTAGTCCAGTGCCTGGTCCATATAAAGTTTTGAATAAATGACAAATATTAATGCCCTTGTCATCCCTCCAGTAGTTCCCACACTTGGAAAGAGGCTGTAAGCCTCCAGGTTCATTTCCATCTGTTCTCTGGTTTTAAGGTTGCTCTTAACTAATGAAGATGTGGTGCTACAGGAAGGTTGGTGCCAATACCCCCTCAGGGACTGCTGTGTGCTATTGCCTGTGGTTGGTGTCATTAAGACATAATTTTCTTTACAAGGTAATAGATACTGTTTCTTTTCAGAAATGCACATCTTCGTTTGGGTGATTTTGAGAGGAAGAAACATTAATAAAAATAAACTAAGGTGGTCTTTTACTTCAATAATTAACATAATTTAATTATCTCAAGGATTACTTTAAAGACACACATGTCTCTTTGAGTCACTAAGGAAGTAATTCAATTCGAACTGAAACTATAAGTGATTCATTTATGCTGTCTGCTATCTAAACTGAGACACATGAGAAAAACTGCAGTGTAGGATCCATAATAGGTGGAGTAATGGCCCCCATAAAGACCCCAGGTCCTTATTTCTAGCACATTAAATGTTGTTTTGTTTGGAAAAAGCCTTTGCAGGATATGCAGGTTTGGAAATGTGATCCCTTGGGTTATCCAGGTAGCCCTAAACATCATCAAAGTTTCTGTACAAGAGGAAGGTAGAGGGAGGAGGCAGCATGGAGACCAGGGAGGCAGAGAGTGGAGTCTCCATTTGAAGAATGTTGATGGCCCCCAGAAGGTAGTGGAGAAAGAGACCCAATTGTCTCCAGAGCTTTGAAAGGTAGCACAACCCTGCTGAGGCACAGATTCCAGACTCCTGGCCTCCAGAACCGGGACGGAATTGATTTCTGTTAAATCAGCAAGTCTGTGGCAATTGGTTATAGCAGGCTTGAGAAAATAACACAAGAGGTCAGGGCAGAGTGAAAATTGGGGGGACCACATCCTTCAAACAGGGGAGGTCTAGGATCCTTTGGCTCTTTTTATGTTTTATTTTGAGACAGAGTCCTGCTAAGTTGCTGAAGCTGACCTCCAATTTGTGATTTTCCTGCCTCAGCCTCCCAAGTACAGGCATACAGCACTGCACTCAACCCCAAAGTGAGAATTTTAATACTCCTCCTGCCAAAACAGAGGGTACTCAACGCCTCCCTTCCCTTTGTATACCACTGGGTTTGAGGACCCTTTTGGATCAATCAAAATCATTTAGGCAGGCAAGGTAGGCATACTTCTGTTCCTTGGGCCTATTAGTCTTTTCAATCCATAAAAGTAGAGTCCTCAAGAATGCCCTCTATGATATTCCCTGTTTATCTCTGGTCCCCATGGGTACCCTTGCCCTTGTTACTCAGCTGCCCATGAGCAGGTTGCAATTTATTTTACTAACCCATCATCAGTCCCTCCAGCTAAACTTCATTCAAGGGCAATACATTGGTCAGGACTCAGAGAGACAATGGGAGATAAATGTGCCCAGCTCCAAGTGGACATTTGTTCACCTACAAGTTATAATATATACATCTTTTGCAGCTTCACCCAGTAATGCCTTACAAACAAAGTCAGGAGAGTCAGGAACAAGTTTCACCATCTAGGTGCCTGAGGCTTCCAAATACCTGTTCCTTTCAAAGATCAGTTTCTTCCCAGAACACCAGACTCATATCCCCAACTGCTTATCTCCATTTGAGTTTCAAATGCACAGATGAACTAGGAAAATGGCCCGGAATGGTTAGAGATGGCTTACCTTTTTGTCCTGGCATTGAAAGCAATCTGTCCACTCAGACCAGTTGCTCAGCTGGCAGGCAACCGCTTTGGGGGTCACAGCCTGACTTGCTCTCCTAGAGAGAGGAAGGACGCTGTATCAATGCCAAGATGCAAAGTTTAAGCAAAGGAAAAACGTGTGCCCATTTTCCTACCAGTAAAACATGATTCATAGGAAATGAACATTTATTGTGCTGCCACTATAATGCACAGGTGGTACTGGAAGGTTTGTATAAATTGTCCCTTTAGTACCATATCCATCACAGGTGGGTCAAATCATTATCACTTTAGCGAAATGAGTACGGAGGAAGACTAACATTTTTTGAAGAGTCAAAATAGCAGAAAGTGGTTAGAACATGGGATCCGGGGACAGAGAACCAAGTTTGAATCTTAACTACACTTACTGGCTATGAAAACTTGAACAAGTTACTTAACATCTCTGAGCTATAACACTCCCGTCTATAAAACTATATTAAAAATAATGTTATCTAATAGTTATTGAAAGTAYGTTTAAATGCATATAATATGTTTACTAAAGGTTTTGCTTTTAAGATTACATGCTGGCACATTACATGGACTGTGTCACTTCATCTCTGTGACTGTCCTGAGAGATAAATATTATTAGCCCTATTTCATTATAAGATCTGAGGTTCCTAAAAGTTAAGTAACCCCAGCAGTCATATCCTAGGGCAGACTGGCAAAATTTGAACTGGTTGTTTGAATGGCAAAACCCACTTCACACTCCTGACCATGTTGGTTTCTCATTTTAGAAATCAGTCATCAGAAGTGAGCGAGGACCTTGCCTGGGCTGACATATCCATGTGCTAGAAACTGGTTTGCCTCCAAGGCAGGGATCGTCTCTTACCCCATGCTGCCTCCTCACAAATTAAAAACCTTGCCCAGGTCACTCAGGGCCAGGGAAGCAGTCCTAGCTTGCCTGGCTCTAAGCCCGAGCCTCTTCCCCAACAGTGTTGCTGCTGCTGAAGGTCAGCCTGCTGGACAAAGGTGGAATGTCGTCCCTTACCATCAGAACTGCCACCACCCCTGGGAGCTGGGCAGCCCGGCTGTGATCAATAGTACAATTATCTCCCTAGCATAGGGAAAAAATGCTTCAAATCGTGCTGCTTACACATGAGCTGCTACTCCTGCCGCAGATGACCCCTGGGCTAAAACCCCCAGGCAGACAGCCACAGAGCGGCAGGAAAATCATGTTCCTCTTCACCCTGGTTCTCACAATTTTGCTCTCAGATTATTGAAGACCCCAGAGAGCTTTCAGTGAGCTAGATCTATGGATATTCACAGAATTCAAAATAAAAACAGGTATTTTAAAATAGTTGTTAATGTATTTAAAGCTATAAAAACCCATTGCATGTGACCATAAGTAATTTTTAAAATATATGATAATTAGAAGAGTATCATTGTTTTACATTTTTGCAAGTCCCTTCAAAGAGGCTCCTTTATTGGATCTATAGCTATGTGTTGTTTTGGTTGAAGTCTATGAAAAACATCCAGCCCTACACAGTTACATATTTGGAAAAGGAAGGACTGTTTACAGTTTTTTTTTTTTCAAATGGATATTTGTGGATATGTGGATATTCTCCTTTGTTATTATACCAAAACTTGACAAGTGGTAATTTCTTATATGTTAGGCGCAATGCAGTGTCTGAAAGCTTGTCAACAAAATCTTTTGTGCTCTYTTATATTAAAATCTGTTGGTCTCAGTACACTGAACAGATCTTGTACCCATACATAATTTTTTTTAACATCAGGCATTGGAAATTTGGAAAACGGTAACTCACTAAGTTCACATACCTTATAAATATTTGCAAATTTACTATATATAGGAAAAAAATAAAACTTGTTAATATCACTAGTGATCCCATCAAGTTCACAGTGCTGACTGAGTTGTGTTTCTTTTCTCATGAAGACTTATTTGTTGTTCACAATAATTTTACTTTTTATTTTCAAGTGATAGGCTATCTGTGTTCACGTAAAAATATATGTAAATATCGATTCCTGAATGACCATGGTTTGGTGGCAGTTATCTATGTCAAGTCAAAACGTGTCCCTCCAAAATGCATGCATGAAAGCCTACACAACACCATCAGGGTTGTGATGTCATTTGGAAATGGCGGCTTTAGGAGGTGAGTGATTAAGTCCAAAGATTGTGAATGGGATGAGTGTCCCTACTGAAGAAAATCTAAAGATCTCCTTCACCCCTTCTGCCACATGAGGACATGGTGAAGAGACGGGACGTTTATGAACCAGGAAGTGGGCTCTCACCAGGCACTGAATCTGCCTGCACCCTTCTCTTGTGAAAAACAAATGTTTTCTGATTAAGCCTCTCAGGCTCCAGCAATGTGTTACAGAAGCCAGAGAGACTAAGACAAGTGGCTGTTTGGACTCACAATTCAGTGAACAGAACATCCAAGAATTATGGGACAGCATCAAAAGACCAAATCTAAGAGTTATTGGGATAGAGGAAGGCACAGAGTTTTAAACCAAAGGAATGCACAATCTCTTCAATGAGATAATATCAGAAAATTTCCCAAGCAATGGGAATGAATTGGAAAACAAAATATAAGAGGCTTACAGGACACCAAATGTACAAAATTACAACAGATCTACACCGAGGCACATTATAATGAAAACACCTAGCATACAGAATAAGGATAGAATCTCAAAAGCTTCAAGAGAGAGGAATCATATCACATACAGGGGGAGACCAGTTCATATCTCAGCATATTTTTTCAACTTAGACCCTCAGAGCCAAGAGATCTTGGAACAACACATACCAAGCTCTGAAAGAAAATGGATGCCAACCAAGAATCTTATATCCAGCAAAACTAAGCTTTAGATTTGATGATGAAATAAAAACCTTCTATGATAAACGAAAGTTAAAAGAATTTACAACTAGAAAGCCTGCACTACAGAACATCCTCAGCAAAATATTTCAAGAAGAGGAAATGAAAAACAATGATGAAAATCAGCAGAGGGAGGGATTACACTAAAGGAAAATCTAATCAGAGGAGAAACCAAGTCACAAGTCACGTTAAATACCAAAATAAACAAAATTGCTTTTCTTCAAACAATCCTCATACGTCACTGCATTGTTTGTGCCTTCTTCCCATTTTTGCCATGGAATATTTAGATAACATTTYTCAAGGACTGAGGTGTCATAAAATGAACAATTCTTACTGCTTCAAAGAGGACTTTCTTAAGTAAAATTTTATTTTCCCCCCAATGGATATGGTGCTACTGCCTTGATTTTTTTTTACCAAAGCTACAGTGGTTTAATCCACCATTTTGCATCATCAGTGCTGATACAAACACGGTAAAAAGGGCAAATAATGTCCCACCATTATTATGAAAATTGTTTTGAACCCACCTGGGTCTGTGAATCAAAACTCGTAATAATACTGAGACATTCTTTGCACTTTTCATCATGTTTATATTTGCACTGGGCTCTGCAGAACAGGCTCAGAGAAACTCTAACCCATCAAATGATGTTAGAATGTAACATCGGCCTATCATCCCTTCAAAAGAACTTAAGAAACTTCACAAACTTCCTCTCCACCTGGATTCCTGTCATCCCTTGACTCACATCCCTTTAACGAGCACTCCACCCTCGTGGTGCCTCCTTTTCCTTATTGCTTATGGTCTTCTCTGCACTCTAGAACCTTCCTTCATCATATTCTGGACCTCCTCTTCTCTGAAACAGCTTCTCCTCCAAATCACTAATTTGTGAATCACCTGTGAATAGTCACTTGGGCCTCCACTGCTGTTCCTCCTCCTCCTTTTTTTTTTTTTTTAATCTACTCAAGGACTCTCTCTGCACTTTCCTGGGTGGGACCTCACTGGGCCTCCATTAACTTGACACCAAGGCTTTCTGTCACTAAGACACTTTGTATCTTTATTTTTCTTTGGGTTTCATTTTGGATTCCACCGGTTTGTCACTTTAAAATATTAACTAGGTGTGTTTCCTCCATTACACCTACCTGTATAGCCCAGTCCTGAGTGAATTCAACTATCTATTTCTTCACCTGATTAACTCCTAAGTATCTTTCAGACTCATCAAAAATTTCAATTCCTTAGGGAAACATTTCCCAATACCCAGACTCTTAGCTACCTCCCTTCATATGATTTGGTCAATTTCTGCATGTCTTTTGAAAAATTAATTATCACACTCGCAATTTAGGTGTAATTCCTGTTTCTTCTACCAATTCTAAGATGTATGGATGCTGGTACCACCTGTGTATTTTCTACTGAAGTCCTACCATCCATCATCGGCAGGTACATAAAAGGTGCTCAGTAAATATTTTGGAAAGGGGGGGGGGGGGAAGAAACAAAGAAGAAGAGAAGGAGAGGAAGAAAAAACTACAACCAGTTCCTGGGAAATAAGCAGTGACAGAGTTGAGAGATTTCTTTGAAACTGACTCCTGGTTAGAATCTAATTAAATAATCTAGAAATTCAAACAGCTTCAAGGTTTGGTTTACCCAAACCTGGGTCTATCATTTTTATAATAGGTTGCCCTGGTAATGAAAGAATGAATTGCAGAAACATGGAGAGAGAAAAAAAATTTCCAAGAAGGTATAGGGTGAAGATTTGGGAACAGAAAAGGACTCCAGCATTATTCTGCATCTCACTACAGAATTGTCAAGATAATGTCATTGTAAGCCCATGGAAACCGCATTATGATGTCAACATGGGAGCAAACAGTATTAATGGCTGAAAGCAAAAGCCTGGACAGAGCAGAGAGCTGGGCTGCTGTTGGTTTAAAAGCTTTGTGACAGGGCTGGGAATGTGGCTCAGGCGGTAGCGCGCTCGTCTGGCGTGCGTGCGGCCCGGGTTCGATCCCCAGCACCACATACCAACAAGATGTTGTGTCCGCCGAGAACTAARAAATAAATATTTTAAAAAAAAAATAAAATAAAAAAAAATAAAAGCTTTGTGACATGATGTCTAGACTGAGGCACACATAGTAATACTATCACTGAATGCCAGAGCACAGAAGGTGCACCAGGACCACTCATTACATCACTACAGGGTTCTAACTTTCAGCCTCATCATTCCAAT